CTTAGACAACTAGGATTAAGATGCTAAGGCAAACAATGTCTGTCTAGTCTGTCTAGCTGCAGAAAGCTGCTTGAATACAAAATGTTCACTATAGCAAAGACGTAAGCTGGCAAAAGCTTGAAAAGAAATTTCAGCCTCCCGTAAACAATTCTGAGAAGATGAACATTGGGGAGATATTGTATCCTTATTGCAAAGGATGAAGCAGGAATTGAAGCTGATGCTTCTTCAGTAATTATTTATCTAATGCTCAACATCATATTGCTTCAAGTGGCCCTTTCACATACACCCTTGCATCTTCTGTCTGTGCTGCATCTCAGGTGAATGATGAAAAAGCTTAAAGTGAAGGAGATACTTAATTGGAAATTATGCAGCTGTAATCCTGACCAGAAACAAAACTTCTGATCAGGCCACTCAGACCAAAGAGCTTAGAATTGGCAACATCCTGAAATAACAGAATATTCAAATTTTACACTTAAAAGATACTTTGAGTTCCCCTTTCAATCATGTTGCTATGTAGACTTTCAGGGTCATGTGACCTTATTTGAAATGGAATGGAATGCAATCACAGAGAAATGCACTTAAACAGTTAAGAGTTAACACTTGAAATATTTAATGACTACAAATTCTTCAGATCTTCTCCAGCTCACCTTCTCCTCCAACAAAAAGAGTGAATCCCAAACTGAACAACCCGATGCAAACTCTAACCATACTGCCAGCCTGAGGTACAAGCAACTTATACAAGAGAACAGAAGCCAAACTTTGGTTTGCATCAGTTGTTATGGACAATCAGAATTAATTACAGCATTCAGAAATAATTCTGTAAAAGATCTTTCTAGATTTTAAAGAAAGGTACAGAAGTTCAGGCTTACTGATGTTAGAAACAGTCTTATAGCCACTTCCATAAAACTGCTTTGCAAAGCAAAATCAGTCTGTTGTTCTTTCAGTCTGTCCCTCCCCCAACCCTGCCTGTAGTCTCCCCTTTCCTTAGTCTTCACTTGTTTTCTTGTACAGGTCATGACAACACATCCTTTTACTCTCCAAATGCAGGCTACTGCTCTTTCAGAGGTTATCATGATGGCAATTAGGTCACCAATTTCATTTTTCATAAGCTGGTGAGCTAACAGTTATTTAGGTTGTGGAACTGCCCTCCTTTCAGGGCTGGCAAATAATTTGCACTCCTTTGTGCTTTGCTGCAAGTTGGCACAGTTGCTCTTTTATTGCTAAATCCTGCTTATGCCTCTGCTTCTGTGCATGTCGTGTCCTCCCCCTCATGACTATATTTTTGTCTCTTTACTTAGTGCACTTTCTATGCTTTACTTTTCAAAACTTCATAAACTTCTGGATGTAGAGCCTGAAGGTGCTATCTCTGTATTTCAGATTTTAATGCTGCATTCATCATCATTTCAGTAGGCAGCCCCATGGCTCCCAATGTCCTCTGTGGGATTTCAAAATGTGGATCTAGAGCATCAGACCACTCCTTTAGCTTGTAGTGAAAACTGTAATGAGTGCAAAGAACACTGAGATGTTTAGCAACAGGTCGGAGTTGTTTTATAACTATGAAGGTATTCACAGCCATCAGCTTTTAGGTACTCCTTCCAGATGAGCTAAGCATTTGTCTAGGTCTACGAGGAAAAAACTCTGAGTATTTTAAGGACTGATTGCAAACACTTTCTGCCAAGTTTGCCTTTGACTGCAGATATAAATACTTGCCCTAACACAGTACTTCACAGCGTGCTTGTGGGCTTGTGGAAGTGACATGAAAAATAAGGTGTGTGCTGCTCTGCCTGGATGAGTCTGGTGCTAACGTGGTTACCCTGCTGCTGGTAAAATGCTGGCTTGTTGCAGTGCCTGTCCTGAGCTGTGTGTAATAAACACAAAAGGATGGCATGGGTAAAACTCTCTTACGGATGACTCATCAAGTCTGTTGGAATTATTGTCACTGGAAGATGGGCTCAGGGAAACAAGTGTTCTAGTGCTTCTGGCCTACCACTGATAATTCTTTCTGTCTCTGTTGAAACTTCATTTTTAGACCTGCTCACACTAATTTAGAAACACCCTTCTTCCTAAGGAAAAAGTACATTTTTTCTGTTTATTATAAGAATGGGAACTGGCAACATAACTGCTCATTTGTTTTCTCTTCCTCCCAGCAGTTTTTCAAGAATTCCCTGATATCATCCTGTTCTAAGCTGCTGCTCCTTCTCATCTCTCACTTATAAGGCTGCTTCTTCATCTGCCTTGAGTCTATGTGGTTCAGTCCTTCCTCACAGCCTCACTCCTTGCTGTTGCAATTACACACTGCCTTTCCCTTTTGAAGTTGAGATGTATTGACCAAAAATTAGAACAATGGATTCTAGCATTATTAGCAATTTGGAACAGTATTAAGGTTGTGCTGATTGCTGTTAAATCAGATAACAGTTTTCAGCAGAAGTACTGGAAGGTTTATTCCAGCAGTGCAAGAACAGAAGGTGCTTCCCAGACTATTATGCTGTTAGGCTGCCAAATTCCAAGCAGAAGTAGGGACAAAATCAAGTACAAAGTATTAATTAGGACTTCATTTTGCTGGGAGATTTGTGTAAGATTTGCTCTTCTTTTCCATCAGCACACTCAGGATATATACGTCCTTGCAGTAAGTTTTCAAAAGGGATTATTTATTTTGAAAACCTGAACTGCTATACCTAAATGCACAAGGTAAAGAGATACAGTGCCTAGAAAGTTTGTTTTTCTAGGCTATTACCTTGGTTCAATCACTATTATTTATATATATTCATCAATATAATGAGATTTTTTACATCCTGCTTAACCCTTACATTTTATGAAATAGGTAATTTATCTTATCAGTTTATGATACTGTGCCTTGCCCAAAGGACATATTTATTGACTCAATGACATGTCAAGCAAAAGTTGCTTTAAGTATTTTCATTCTATTTCCTGCTACCTAAGTATGCAGTGAAGTTTTTTCATAATTACACACTACTGATCATTTACTGATCACTCTGCTATTTCATGGGTACCTTCAGGATCTCCTGTAGCACAGATGTGAGCACAGGGCATTATTTGCTTGACTTGAAGCACAGTAAAAGCTACAAATATGGATCCTAGTTGTGTACATATACATCAGCCAAATAAGCACCTACACAATTTTAGGGGACCAAAGAAATACACTGGAATTTGTATTTCACAAATCCCATTTCTCAATGGTTTTGAACAATTTTTAATTTATCAAGGTGGTGAAATACCATGTGCAAGATATCGGCATGGTGCTGTTATTGCCAAGCCTATGGTTTAAAGTAGAGTTGTGTGTGCTGTAAGACTTGGATTTTCCCTGAGGGACCAGCTTGGGGGAAAGAGTACTGCTAACATGAAACATTCAAAATTACAGACTCTGAAGTAAAAAGCTTATTAGACACTTAGAAAACTTAGTATTTTTCATTATTTATAAAAGGCAAATAAACAATTATTAGTATCAAGAGTTTGCTCTTTTTGCTTCACACGACTAACAAATGGGTCTCTAACAGGGGAAAAACAGCTGTATGAGTAAAACTGAAACTCCGTAATACTCACAAATAAAACTAAGAAGTGGTCAACCTTGAAATGTTAAGTATTTAACAATACCTGGGAAAATTACAGAACTTCTGCAAAACCCATCAGCCTTAAGAACTGCTTAATGCCCTTCACATTTCTACAAGAAAACACATTCTGCTTTTATTGTGGGAGAAAAAACACTGTAATTGAAGAAGGTTGGTTTTCTTCACATTAAAATAGTAGTGTTGTTTTTCCTCCATCTTTCCTGCAAACCATTACTATTTCTTTGGTGTGCATGTTGTTACTGGCAATGCAGGAAAAAAAATCCCATCTTGCTCCTACTCTCCTAATGCACCTAAGGTTAACTGTGTAACCCAAAGTCTAGTGAAAAAGCAAGCACACAAACAAAAGCCCACAGGACTGTGCTTAAAGGAAGAGCAAGTTTCAGACAGGAATATTTCTGTGTATTCAAATACTAAGCTGTGGGGACACATCACCCCAGTGTTCTCTGAGTTGGGGCAGACATGGCTCTGTTTCTGAGGAGATGTGTTTCTGTTCCATACTTTGTGCCATTACTTAACAACAGAGTAGGTAACAAGCTATATAAATTTCTTTCACAAAATCATTGAGCTTGGAAAAGACCTGAGATCGTCGAGTCCAAACGATCGATCCAGTAGACCATGACACTGAGTGCCACATCCAGCCTTTCCTTAAACACCTCCAGGAACAGTGACTCCACCACCTCCCTGGGCGGCCCACTCCAACACCTAAGCATACTTTCGAGAAGAAATTCTTCCTAATATCCAACCTAAACCTCCCCTGGTGCAGCTCAAGACTGTGTCCTCCCGCCCTGTCGCTGGTTGCCTGGGAGAAGAGACCCCCGCCGGGTTACAGCCTCCTTTCAGGCACTTGTAGAGAGCAATAAGGTCACCCCTGACTCTCCTTTTCTCCAGGCTAAACAACCCCAGCTCCCTCAGCCGCTTCCCAAAGGACTTGTGCTCTAGATAAGACATGCGCTCTTCCTTAGCATCTAGAACAGGGAAAGACGCGCAGCGCCGCACACGTCACTGGGGGATGAGAGATGCGCTGCTTGGTCAGAAATTTAACAAAATATTTCGATTAGCGTCCGCAGCACAGTTGCCTGACACCGAAGAGCTCTAAGACAGGTCACACCAAGGGAGAGAGGGAAAAAAACCCGACCCGCAGTTTCGAGCTCCATGCCTTGCGGCCGGACCCCGCCAAGGGCCGGTGCCGGTGGTGGCGGTGCCGGTGGCGCCGGGCAGGCGCAGCGCGGGCCGGGCCGGGCCGGGCCGGGCGCGGAACGGAGCGGAGCGGAGCGCCGGCCCCGGCAGGGGCGGTCCCGCGGCCCCGCTGGGCGGGCGGGGCGGGGCGGCGGCGCACGTAGCCGTCCCAAGATGGCGGCTGCTCCGGACCGGGCTGCGAGGGCGGCAGCGGGGCCGGGGCCGGCGGGCCGGCGCTGAGCGGGGCGGCGGCGGGGGCTGGCGGCGCTCGCCTCGCCTCCCCTCCCCGCGGGGTGCGGGGTAGCTTTCCGCGCGGCCGCCAGGCTTCACCATGCTGCGGGGCTAGAGCCGCCGAGGCGCCGCCGCAGCGCAGCGGGGTAATAATGTTAACAGAGGTAAGAGCGCTGCCGAGGAGGTGCGGGAGCGCGGGGAGTGGCTCGCTGTCCGCCCGGGCGCTCAGCGCCGTGGCTCAGCCCTCCGCCGGGGCCTCCGAGTTGTCTCGGCGGCTGGCAGTTTTCCCCTTGGCCGCGGAGGGCAGAGCCGCTGGCCGGCTCGCCCAGGGCAGCGCCGGGCCCCTCTTATCAGCCTCCGTCCTGTCCCGGCAGGGCTGCACGGGAGCGGGGCGCTCTGGCTCCCCGGCAGAGCCCGGTCCGCCGAGCCCGCTCCGTGCGGCGGCTGGGCCCGGTCCGTGTTCCGACGCGGTCCCCAGACGGCCGGGCTGCGCTGCCCGGAGAGGGCCCGCGGGGCCGCGCCCCCGCGGCGGGCCCGTATCTGAAGGAGCGGAGCGCACCTGGTGAGGGGGAACCCGCCTCGGCCCTGGGCCGCGCCGGGGAGGTGCCCCCGCCTGGGCCCCGCTCCGGCTTCAGCCCCTCTGGCCTCCTTCTCCGCGGTGGCTTCGTAAAGGCTCCGTGTTTGTTTTCTTGGAGGGCTTAAGCGGAGCGGTTCGGCTGTGCTTGCAGGAGTTTGTGTCAGTAGGTAATCCTTAGAAGTTGCGTGCCCCGGTTCACCTCTGCGTGGTGGAGGGTTTCTGTCCCGAAGCAGCTGGGCTGTGAGACAGGCAGGTATTTGAGGATCAGCGTGGGCTATAAATGTCTGCTGTGTCCAAAGGCATTCTAAAAGGTGGAATCTGGCAGTGCTTTCCAGTTACTGGAAATTAGACTTTACCCGTATTCTGTTTTGTCTACAAAGAGCAATTGATTTTCTATTTTTAATGTCAGCAAGGTGTCCTGAGTGCAGATACTTCTGCAATACAATGACTCTGATACCCATGTTTTATAGTTTGTCATGTTATTCTACATTGGAGGTTATTCATCCAAAAGTGAGTTGTCTTAAGTCTTGCAGGGTAAAGGCTTGCTTTCCAACACCTGAACCTTTCAGCTTTACTTTCCTGAATGATATTAAACAGTGTGTTCCATGTTTTAATTTGCATCAGTTCAAAGTTTTAGGGTATTCTGAAAGCAGTTCTGTAGAGCCAGATATCCCCAGGAGGGTAAAATTTGCAGAATGAGTTAAACCTGTAAAAATATATGACCTATTTTTGAATTGAGGGTATTTGGTAGGTGGTCAGGATTAATAAGCTGCATTAAAGAGAGTTGGTGAGTGTGATGTCTATGAGTCTTAGCCATAGTAATTTAGATTATTTTAAGGGCAGCATAGAACGTTCTGGGTCGGTGCCTCCTACTGGACTGTTTGTTCCTTTTGGTGGTGGCTGTGTGTGCCCGTCCAAGAAATGTTATCTTGGAACTGAATTTTCTTTTTTTTTAACAGTGTTGAAATTCTGTGAATAGCAGTGTGGATGACAATCCATTGGCTTTTTGAGATAAAGCTTAGTGATTTCATGTGTGATGACCAGTTACGACACTTATCCTTGGTGTCAAGGAGGAGAGGGTTCTGATGTTCCCTTCTTCTAGTTCCTGTACATATGTTGCTTGTAGATGCTTCAAGGTGAAGTGTTCCAGTCTTGAGATGAATTTAAATATTAAGGGAGTCTAGCAAAAGTTCAGGCCTTGCCTGCCTGAAAAGCAGTTGTGGGGAGTTCTTCAGGCTGTCAGGAATGCCCACCTAAGGTGGACTGGAGGAGTCTTTTCCCTGTGAGCTTTTCTGGGTGTTCCAATGATGACTTGGTAGCTACAACAGCCTGGGGAAGCTGTGCACAGTTGCACCCATGAACCCGTACCACACTTTGGAGGAATATGCATATTGTTTCAAGTCTACTGCTTTATGATTTCTTTCTATATGAAAACTGGGATTGACTGTAGGGTGAACTGACATTAGAAGCAAGAACTGCGCTAGTTTTTGTACTGGATATTTATGGCCTTGTCAAGTTTGTTACTGTCTAGAGTGGCCAGAATCACTGTAATTTTGTTTTTAGTCATCAAAATTTAGATCCACTTCCCCTACTATAACTGCTAGTTCTATAACTTACCAATATAGAAAATATTTTTTCTTAAATATGTTTAAGAATGAAGGAAGGGCAGATTGGTTTTTGCATGTATTGTTATCATGCAGTAACATAATGTTGAATTTTTCAAGGTCAGTTTCCTACATCCTTTGACTGTATTGGTATATGCAGACCCCAGCAGATTCGTTTCAGTTTTGTGTAAATGCAGTTAGGATTAGGACTTTGTAATCAGTAATTTCAGGGGAAGATCACACTTCCTGTTAGGAAAAAAAATACTCTGCATGTTTTTTATTTGGCCCTTTCTGCCCATCTTATTTTAGTTGCATTCAAAACCCATGCTGTTGGATGCCAAGCACACACATTTTTTTACCTAACTGGCAAATGGCATTTCCAAATTTTTCACCATAAAACTTATTTCTGCAGTAATGTTGAATGCATTCTGTCGGCATGTGTTTAGAGTCCTGCTGTGATGATCATTTCCCTAGTCTGTTGTGTTGGCCATTCTGTGCCTTTTCACTTGTTCCCCTTTTCTTGTTCATCAGATGTCTCCTCTGCTTTCCAGCCCCTGTGGCCTGTTCCCATGTGACTTACTGCCTCAGCACTTTCTCATCTGGAGAGGCCATGACAGACACAAGTTGCAATGGTCTTTCTCTTGTCTTTTTGGACAAGAAGCTTTGGGAAGCAGTTGGTGTTTTACAGCTCTGGCTCTTGGTGGTCAGTAGTGTCTTAAATTCTGATGGACCAAACATTCAGTAGGATTTTGACTTAATTTACAAGAAGTTTTAGATGCCTTTCAAATTGATGGTCTGTGCTGTCTGCATTTGCAGGCTGTGTTGTCTCTGAAGAGGGCACTTTATCTCAGCCGAGAAGTAGGTTCCTTTTTTTTCCTCCCCAGCTACTCATTAAACTACTTTGAGATGCTTAGGGAGGACGTCAGAATTTATCAGCAGCTAAATTTTTGACAACTTAATTCTCAGCTTAGCAAGAGTAACTTGTTGCAGTACTAGTGACAGTTGAGAAGGTTTTTGAAATTTGACTTTTTTTTCTTATCCACAACTAAGAATATGCCATACTAAATGAGCTCTGACATGTTGGTATTTCTTGTTATTGCAACTGATTAAGATAATTCACTAACTACATGTAGTATTTCCTTTCCATTAAACAATCTACATTTTGTTTATAAGAGAGGTTTAACAACCTTTTCTTTTTTTTGGTTAAATTTTGTTAACTACTAGCCATTGAGAACTGTTTCTGGGCAAAACCAAGCAATTAGCCTGATTTTTAAGAATAGAGGTTGACTCAGCAGCTTAACTTGCTCTAGAATAATAGTGAATTAGCCCTTCTGCAACAGTAGCACATTGTAAAGTATATTAGTACAGATCTGAAAGAGGCAGAACACAGTTAACTGCTTGATGCACTGTAGCATTAACTTTTTCTGTTCCTTGTTACATGTCAGTGGCAGATTGCTCTGGTGCTTTATGTGTCCGAGCTATGTTCCCCTGGTAGTAGGATGTGTAGACATTTACCAGGGTGCTGAAATAAATAAATTTTCTGTCCTTTTGTGGAACATGTGTGCTGGGGCTTTCTTTAGTGCCAGTGTTTTGCTAGATGAGATCTAGTTGGAGCATTAGCTGCAAGCCCTTGGGAGGTAAAATGCCTCTTTCTCCTTCAGTGTTTTCTGTCAATGAGGTTTCCCCTACAGCTGGTCTGTGTTTTGTCCCTAATTGTTCCTATTAGACCTCTTTTAATAACTATAATTTATGAAGTGTCAGTTGAAAGTATCTGAGAAATGATAAAATGAAGAAAACTAACCTTTTGCAAAGAACAGTTATCATATATTCCTAAGTACTTGCTTTTAAAAATTTTACTGGCTACTAGTAAAACAGTGTCTAAACACTCAGGACTATTCTTAGAGTGTACACTTGGGCCTAAACTGCTGAGACTGAATGCAGAGTTCTGCAACAACTCTAAAATGTCAGTCTGGACCGTTCCCCAAAAGAGCATGGAAGAAGAAAAGCATGAAGTTCCTTACTTCAACAAAAATAGTAATAGCTTGTTGGGTTAGGTAGCTGAAGGAGCTCTAAGTGATGATTTCCTCTGTCTGGTTTCACTCTAGGGAATTATCTCTCTTTTAAATGTGTTTGTCGTCTTCTCCCCACCCTTACAAAGATGACAAAGCATGTTTTCTTTGAGCTAGCATTGGGAGAATTGCTATTATTAGAAAAGAGAAGTCATTGATACTGTATCTAAGTTATTTGCAATGGTGGAAGGATTAATATTTAGCAGTCTCACTAGCAAGTTTCCCCACTGCTTGGCTGAGGATACCAAGGCTGGAATGATAGCAAAATCAATTGCAGTTGGCACTTGCAGTTATGTGAGAGAGAAGCTTCAAGAAGTACAAGGCATTGTAAGCTTAGGCCTGATCCTCTGATTACTGAATTAATAAAATAAGGCATTATTTCATGATGTAAACATATTGACTAGTTTGAATAAGAGCACTCTAGCCTTGTTTACATAATTTCTATGGGATCACACCTCAAAATGATGATGGCATGATGGTGATTTACAAGTTTGAGGTGAAATGTGTGTTTGTTTGTACTGTGAGTAAGCACAGATAATTGATATGTTCAGCCAGGGGAACTCCTTTTATAACTACCATTTGTTTTGGACAAGAAGTCAATTCCTACTCTGTCACAGGTGTAGAGGATCTGTTAAAGATTATTATTGCTCTAAAACAGGAATGGCTGTGAAATTCTGAGAGAGTAGAGATGGATTTCTGAAGAAGTTCTAATGTTAATTGACTTTGTGTTCTGTGTTGAATGAGATGGGATCTCAGTGTTGCAGTTAAAATAGTGTGAGCCAAATTTATTGCTATATTCTAACATTGACATTTTACAAATATTTAAAAAGTCCCACCAATTTTTTAACTAGTTTTTTTCAAGTGGGATGTTATGAAAAATTTGTGATTTCCTAGCATGGAATACGGAATTTGAC